CTGAGATCACAGTCTGGAGCTCAGCAACACCAGGCAGAGTTCTCCCTGGGCCCTGTGACCTCAGCCCAGGGGGGGACCTACAGGTGTTACAGTGCAAACCACAACAGCCCGTACCTGCTGTCACAGTCCAGTGAGCCCCTGGAGCTCCTGATTTCAGGTGAGACCCCTGGCACTGTTCTCTCTGTGCTCACTCAGCTCAGGGGCTTGTCCCTAGTAAAACTAGGGAAAAAATAAATGAGGAATGCCGGAGGCTCCACAGAGGGGGTCCAGCCCCTGAAGGATGGAGAGACACAGAGTCTCCCAACCCCGAGCCTCCTGTTCTGAATCTCAGCAGAGAGAAAGAGCAGGAGGGTGAGTGAGAGGTGTGAGAAATGACAAGAAATGTGATTAGACTGAGCAGAGAGGAGAGATCCCATCCCCCACTCACTTCCGGCATCTTCATCTGAGAGTTGGAGGCCCTGGGGTCCCAGCCCCCACTGGACCCTGTTCCAGAGAGAGCAGCTTCACCTCCCCTGGGGGTCCAGATCTGCAGGCCCCCGGGCTACCCTGGAGCCTCCAGCACTCACTGCTCACCTGAGAGTGAGGAGGGGCTGTGCCAGGATCAGGAGGAGCTGGGGGCTCCTACCCACACTGAGGGTCCCCTGTCTGCTGTGTGGTTCTGGGGGCCCTTGTCTGTTCCTGTTCTTTTCCGAGAACTTTCTGCACAGTGTGTCAGTATATAGAGTAACAGTGTAATTTATATTGTATAGAGTCAACTTTCAAATGTCTATAATGCTCTTCCTATTTTCCTAAAGAAGACTAAATTCAGACATTAGTTGCAGGGAATTGCTTCTCGTTACTACTAAGTTTTTGTATTACACACATTTCAAATGAGGTTTTAGTGAACTTCAGAAGCACTTTGATGGGTATTTGTAAAACTGAGTAAATTTCCACCCAAGTTTCAGAACTGCACATCTAATAATTTAATTTGTGTGTAAGCTGTTTGATTCCTCTTCACAGTCTAAATAGTATGTACACATAGGAAAGCTATTGCTTTGGGCATATTTATTTTATAACCAGTATAGCTTCCTAAAATTCTCTCCCTTCAGATTGTTTTTCAATTGATCTCACTGACATAATGAAAAAATTATAATAATGATGAGTGAAAGGTAAATTCACTTTTTCAGACAGTACACTGTTTGTCTGACTCCAGATTCCACATGATACAGTGGTCAAGTAAAATATTCCACAGCTTGACCTCTGAAAAACAGTTTCATTCATAGCCCAAATTATTTCAAGTCAAACTCATTAAGATGTTTGTATTTTACATTCAATTAACTATCAACCTTTATTTCAATATGTTTTCTGATTTCCTTAGAGGTTTATTAGGATTTCTTTTTTACCAACAGATACACGTCTCCTAAAAAGTATCTTGCTGTCTGATTTATAACTGCATGAGACACGTTACAAAGGCTTCTTGCTTTCAACCATTGGATATTAATGCAAATGAATAACATTTATTGTCCATGTGCATTTTCCAAATGTTGTGAGCTGATATTGAGCATTTTGCATGGACCTCTGGAATTAGAATAGAAGGGAATACGTTTTTACATCTTGTTTTCAATATCAAAATGGGGAAGCAGGTTCTCATAGTTGCCTAGTTTTGGTGCTTGCAAAAGACAATAATTTGGGGCAATTTCTCTGTTCCTGAAAGTGTGAATACCACAACTGTGGGCTTCCTTGGTTGGCAGGGTTGATAAGCAGTGCATGGAGGTTGTGTTTTGGGGTAAACATGACAGGATTAACCATCCATCCATGAAATCTTGCCAGAATTCCCAGAGTTTGTCTGATAGGAGAGAGAAGATGATTGGCCTGCCCCTTCTGGGCCCCTGACTTGACCTCCGACCCCATGTTCCAAGGCCCAAAGTCCCCATCCCCCTTCTCCTCTGCCCCCTCCCTACATCCCACAGAGGAGAAGTTATTCCCTATTGAAGACCAGACTAGAAACTTCTGGGGACCTGCCTCCTTATGACTTGCTCTGGGTCTTGAGTCTCAGACTGAGCACAGAACAATCAGCTCTAAATTATTCCTGAACTGAGATAATTTTTTCCCTAATCCTGAGCTTTTTTGCACAGCTCACTCTTGTCATGGCAGCTGGGAGCCAGAGCTGGATTCAGACCTCCCAGGGATGCTGACATCACAGGTAGGGGAGAACCTGGGGGGACATTTGGAGCTGCCTGATGATGCTGACCTCTGTCTCCACATTTTGCAGCCTCCCAACCCAAAGACTACCCAGTGGAGAATCTCTTCTACATGGGCACAGCTGTGCTGATCCTGGTGGTGGTGCTGTTTCAGGCTCGAGACAGTGAGAGAATGGCCCAGGCTGCAGCCAGGATGTGAACACAGAGGGGACAGGGAACCATTCAGAGTGGGAGAGCCGTGGAGCCCATCTGATGACCCAGGAGGTGGGGAAGGACAGTCTGACCATAGGTGGGAAACTGTCTGCTGATTTCTCCAGGAGAACAGACATGGCAGACGAGGTTTGGGGACAGGAAACGTGAGCCGTGTTCCTGTGGAGACACCACCCCCTTCCCACTGTGGGGCTGTTTCTCCTTATCCTCACTGCCTCTCCTTGACTGTCCTTCTGTTCTCACCCCTGTGACCTGAGAGGCCGCCCCACATGGCTGGTTTCGGTTCACATCTACACACCCCTTCATGCTGGATCCCACTTGGATAAATAAATCTGGTGTCTTCATAACCCACGACCTTTTTTAAACTATACAAACAAAGTACCAACATCTATCCCTGGTGAGTGAATGTCAACATTCTGCAGCTAAGTGACAGAAGCCAGAGAGAAAAGATCATGTTTTCTGTGACTGCGTTTGTACCAAGTGTCCAGGAGGAGGAAACCCACAGAGACAGGAGTCAGGTGGGCTTGTTGGGGGCTGATGCAGAAGAGAGATGGGAGACTGACAGCTTTGTGCTATATGGGTGCACTGTTAGACAAATTTCTTATTAAAACCAGACAAAATTGTGGTTCAGACACTGTGTATATTGGATTCTAGCGAATTCTATATTTGAAAATGCTCCACTGTATGTTCCATGAGTTTATGACATTAGAAAGAAATGTAACTAAAAGGAGATGGTTTCCTGTGGATTCTTATTACTTTTGAAGTGTCCCCACGTCCCCAGGGCTGTTTCGTGGGAGGCGGGACTCCCAGCAGGTCCAAGATGCCCTCAGTGTTCAGTGCTCAGGCTCAACCCCTGGTGGGAGTCCCACCCTCACTCCTGAGTGTGGTGAGTCCAGGATCCAGGATGAGCAGCATCCTTCCTGTCTCCCCTCAGTCTGGGCTCACCTACCATTCAACCAAGGATGCCCTGTAGCTCCTGATGCCCCCTGATGGCTAGAGGGCGATATATACACTGCGTCCAAGTAGCCCTTCCACCCACAAGTATCTCATGTCCGTGTCTTAATCAGGCCCAGAAATGACACAGATGGAACCTCTTCATGTCTCAGGCTCTGCTGATTCTCACAACACCTGTGAGACCTGAGCTTCCACCCTTGTCTGCAGTGAGGGAAAAGGGAGAGGAGCGGAGGTTTCTGGCTCAGAACTATGAATAATGTTTCCCTTTGTCTTAGATTAAAACCTGTGAATTGTATGCAACTGGTGCTTCTGCCCAGCACATGGAGACAGAGTGACCAGTGTCAGATGTAGGGTCAACCCTCACAGAGCAGGGCAGTGAGGAGGCAGACATACTCAGGGGCCTGGATGAAAGAGAAAGAGAGAAGCTCTCCTGCTCACAGAGATGAGGAAGTCAGAGAGAGGAAGTGAGAGGGAGAGACCAAACCACACTCCCGGTCAGGACAGTGGGTGGCTCTTGCAGTGGGTCAGGTGACCATGTTGTATTTCACTCCCCAAGCCTCCAGCCCCTCAGTGGGTGGTCAGTCCTGAGACGGTGCAATTGCCTCCCCAGGCCACCCAGGCAGAGATCAGACAAACCCTAAGATCTTCCCTCTCTTCCTCCCACACGATGAACACACCCACAGCTCTGACCCTGAACCTCTCTTTCTGAGACCCAGGTCCCCTCCACGGTCACACTCATGTGAAGACCCAGGCCATCATGGGGGTGTGACCCCATCAGCCTCCTCTCTGGCCTCCTGAGGACCCTCCTTCCCAGCTGAGGGTTTTACTCTAATACGCCTGAACTTACCTGTCATTGACCCTCCCTGCACAAAGTCTTTCTACAGGTCTCCACCTTGCTCCAGCACATCCAAGTGGGTCCACCTGACCCCCCATGTTGTTGGGGATCAGGGTGTGCTAAACTCTCCATCCCAAGCAGAGACAACTGGTCCTACAAAGCAGACCCTTCCCAGTGCCCACCTCCCCTCCCCAGACTCACACACCTGGGTCATGGACACACTGGGCTTGTCATGGGCACCCCCTGAGCCAGTCTGCTCTGTGCAGACTCCACTGCACACCTCCTAGACCAAGACACACAAAGAAGTCTTCCAGCATTTCTCACTCAACTCTACACACACTTTTGTGTTAGGGATTACTTAAGATTTCATAAGAAAGCCTCATAAACCACTTAGAATGCTGATTAACTCATCAAGGGGTATCCTATGGTGTTGGAGTTTTATCACTGTTTATTATCCATAAATCTTACTAGAGTCTAGTCCCACACCATGGTATCTTCTGAACACACCAATCTGCTCACACATTTTTTTACTGAATTCTTTTCTGTAACTTTAAAGATCAAACCCAGTAGTGCCTGCAGGGAGCAGAGGCCCCCTGTGACCAGGACACCACACACCTTGGTGACTCATGGCTCTTAGAATAATCACCCTCTTTCTGGTCCATGGTAATGTCCTCTCACCCCCCCTGGGCTGGCCCTGTGGTGGACAGCGCACATGCTCAGTCAACATCAGCCAGATGCTGGAATGGAGAAAGGCCGGAAGAAACTTTGCTTTTACATTGTCTCAGGAAAAGGAAGTGAATTGCCCACAGTTATATGGGCTGTAAAACAGGCAGTCAGAAGTTTGACAAGAACTGGGCTGCTCCTGAGTCCTGCCCAGCATCCTCTGCCCTCATATTCTGGGAAAGGTGTCTCCCTCTGGACTTGGGCATCACATGAGGTGGAGGCAGCACCTTTGGGGTCTGCTGAGACTGAGATCTGGTCTGAAAGGTGCCAGAACCTGCTGTCTCCCCCACCACCCCTCAGGGAGGGCAGGTTGCAGCGGAGGAAGAAACTGTGACTTGTCACAGAAAGCCTGGACCTTGGTACAGCCTGTGTGTCTGTCTGTCCTGCAGGGCTCAGGGACATTTTATGTCATCTGCACCCCTGGGGACCCTAGCAGACAGCATAATGACCTGGACCTTCATTGCTCTTCTCAGTCTTGGTGAGTTCTGGGGAAAATCAGAAGGATGGGCTCTTCTGCACTCACAGATTTGGACTCAGTTGGGTCAGAGGGGGCAGAAATTCTAAGGACAGAAGATATCAGCTCAGCAGGGTTCCAGACCAGGCCTGGAACCTTTGTGGGTGGGAAAAGGATAATCTCACAGGGATTCTCTTCCAGGATTGTGTGGTGGCCTGTGGGACCAGGTCCAGGCAGGTGAGTCCTTCCCCAGAGCTCTTGCTTCAGCACAAAGATGCCCCTGGGCAGCTGGGGGACACACAGTGCATCTGGGCTGATGGTGACCAGTGTGGGAGGGGCCTTAGAGTGACAACTGGGGAAACTGAGGGAACAAGAACACCCCCTGACACTGAATGTCTGATTCCTTTCCAGGAGTTCCCCCCAAACCCTCTATCTGGGCAGACCCAGGCCCGAGGGTCATAGAGGGGAGTCCTGTGACCATCTGGTGTCAGGGGTCTCTGCAGGCAGATGGCTACCTTCTGTATGATGACAGGAGCTCTCAGCCCTCTTATAAGAGGGTCTCACAGACCTCCAGCAACAAGACCGGGTTCCTCATTCAGTACATGAGCTCACAGTACACGGGGCTGTACCAGTGTGCATACAGCGCTGGGGACACGCTGTCTGAGAAAAGCGAGCCCCTGCTCCTGGTGGTGACAGGTAAGGGGGAACCCAGGTCTCCTCCCCACTGTGGACCACTCCTCAGAGGATGAAGGGGATAGAATGTGGCTGTAGGGAGGCCTCAGCCCTCACAGCCGACACCTAGGGAAGTTGGGGTGACTGTCCCCTTTAAATCAGATCCTCCTTCTCCCTCAGGAGTGGACAGAGCACCCTCCCTCTCAGCCCAGCCAGGCCCAGTGGTGGCCTCAGGAGGGAATGTGTCCCTCTTGTGCAGCTCACAGTCCACACAGGGCCCTTTCCTCCTGCTGAAGGAGGGAGGGGCTGAGCTGCCCACACGCCGGAATTCGGAATGGAATTACAGTGCTTGGAGGTGGCAGACTGTCTTCTCTGTGGGCCCTGTGAACTCCTCCCATGGGGGGACCTACAGATGCTATGGTTTTTCCAGCTACAATCCCAATGTGTGGTCACACCCCAGTGTCCCTCTACGCCTTGAGGTCACAGGTGAGGTGGCCCATACTTGGCTACAGTTCTTTCATCGGCCCCAAATTTCTGATCTAAACCTGCCTACTAAAGTCCTGGGGGTTGTGGGGTCACTGACAGGGGTTTACTGGGGACAGAACCAGAGAGAGGAGACTTAGGGAGGGACAAGTGAGAGCTCTCCCTGCAGCCCCAATGGGCTGGTGTGCCCCTGAGTGACAATGACCTTCTCCCCAGGTGTGTACAGGGAGCCCTCCCTCTCAGCCCAGCCAGGCCCCCTGCTGCTGACTGGAGACCACCTCACCCTCCAGTGTCACTCAGATCCCGGCTTTGACAGATTCGCTCTGACCAAGGACCAGGGGCTCACACCCCCTCAGCGTCTCCATGGGCAGCATAGCCCCAACTTCACTCGGGGCCCTGTGTACCTCACCCATGGGGGCCGGTACAGGTGCTACAGTGGACACAACCTTTCCTATGTGTGGTCGGCCCCCAGCGCCCCCCTGGACGTCTTCATTGCAGGTGAGGAGCCCTGCCCTGCCCCCTGTCCTGACTGTCTGCCTTGGGGCTCTGGCCCGGGGTCACCTTGGTGGTGATGGGATCCAGAATCAGGTCCTGAAGTAGAGGCTGAGAGGACTGAGGTTTTGGGGAGGGAGGAAGTGATGGGCATGGAGATAAAAGCTGCCCACCAGAGGGACTGAGAGGAGCTGAGAGGGGTCACAGACAGTGTCCCTGGGGAAGGACATGGTCCCTCAGCTCAGGGTCAAGGGCATAGGGGGTGAGGTTACTCTGCACATCACAGCCCTCCTCTCCCCAGGAATGGACAGGAAACCCTCCCTCTCAGCCCTGCCAGGGCCCTCAGTGCCCTGGGGAGCCAACGTGACCCTGCAGTGTGGATCTGAGGTCAGGGCTGACACCTTCCACCTGCACAGAGAGGGGTCCCCAGATCCTCCCCAGCAGCTTCATCTGCAGGACACAGCTGCCCCCTCTCAGGCCAACTTCACCATCAGCCCTGTGACCTGGGGCCACAATGGGACCTACAGGTGCTACAGCTCAAACAGCTCCTCCCCCTTCCAGCTGTCACAGCCCAGTGACCCCCTGGAGCTTCTGGTCTCAGGTGAGGATCCCCTCCCCACCCCTGTGTCCTCATGGTCATTTTAGACCCTGTCCCCATGGGGCCTTTAGGCTGGATATGGAGTGAGGGTGTCACCAAAAGAGGGTCAGCATGAGGGGACTCTCACCTCCCAGAGGGATAGAAAAACATAGCTACCCCACCCCTGCCTCACCCTCATCATACATCTGAGGCCCAGACAGTTTCCAGGGGCCCAGGGAGGCTGGAGATGCCTTGGGCTGAGCAAAGGGAGGAGAAGCCAAGGACACCCATCCTGATCCCTTCCTTTTTGAGTGCCCATGGCCTCACCCAGACCCCAGGGTGAGCGTGGTGATTAGCAGAGGCCTTGCTTCCAGAGAGAACCAGATCCCCTACTCTTGCACACTTGTATCCCAGGGAGCCTTGGGGCCAGACAGTGATGCTGGGGGGGATCATGGAGCCCTCAGGGATGTGAGGTTGAAAGGTGACAGGTCCCTTGGTCATGGGGGAGGGAGATGCTGTGGTCCCACTTAGGGGAGGGGCACCCGGCTCAAGTGGAGAGAAGGCAGCTCCCACACCTTACCCCTATCCTGACCACCAGGAGGCTCTGAGGATCCTGCCATCTCCCCTATGAGACAAGACCATAGAGCAATAAGTGAGGGTCTCTGTGGGGAGGCGTTGGATGTGTCCATGGGGACAGGGGCTGAGTCCTCTGCAAGTTCAAGCTTCTCTGGAGGCTCTGAATTGGACACGCCCTTCCCCTCTCTGTGCCTCAGTGTCTCCAAGTGTAAAAGGAGAGAATTGTTGCCCAGAGCTTAGATTGCCTTTTAGTATGGTTCTGACCTCCTAGGAGGGGGCCTCACAAGGAAGCCCCCCAGCACATGATGTTATGGGGACTGTCTCCTCTCTAGCAGTGATGATGAGAATATACAAAGAGGGACACACAGGAAAAGGGTCTGAGACACCCAGGTCCTTTCCCTCAGCTCAGACTCAACTCAGAGGAGGGAACAAGGACTGGAGTCAGACCTGGTTCTGGACCCAGCTCTGTTGCTCCTGCTGTAGGGGACCTGAGGTCCCTTCTCCTATCTGAAAGTCAGGTTCATGTCTGTTCACCCCTAGTCCCCTCCTGCCCACAGGCCTACAGTGACATTAGTTGACATAAGGGGACTCACAGAGCTCAGGAAGGCAGAGCTTCAGCCCTGCCTGCCCTTCCCAAACAGGCGTTAGGATTCACCCCAAATCCCTGCCCCTCCTGTGTCCCTGCTGTGCTGTGGGACAGGTACTAAGGAAGGACCCTCAGCTCTGGGGGAGATAGGACAGGCTCCTGACAGATGAAGAGCCCAGAGCTCAGAGCTGGTGTCCACCTGGGGTAGCAGGAGGACAGCTAATGAGACCCATATCCCGGGGTCCAGTCCCAGCCCTGTTCTGGACAGGCTGGGTGGCCTAGGGCATGTGGCTAACCTCTCTGAGCTGCAGTAGACTGGGTGGAAGGTCAGCCATCCCTGGTGCATGAGGGCTGTGAGGTTAGAAGAGATGAACAGCAGACCCCAGCATGTGCTTTGCACACAGTAGGTGCTCATTAAATGGCACCTTTGGCTCATTCATGACATCACTCCAGCCCAAGGTCTCCAATGGTACTGGAACATCCTGATTGGGGTCTCAGTGGCCCTCACCCTGCTGCTCTTCCTCCTCCTCTTCCTCCTCCTTCGATTCTGGCATCAGAGCAAAGGTAGGACATTGGGTGAGTAGGAAAGGGGGTGACTGGGTTACAGGAGAGAGGGGCTCAGAGCACCTGCTGCAGGAAAATAAATAGGTGGGGAAGGGTAGCTGAGAAACAGATTTCTCCAGAATCTCCAATCAGAAAATCTAGAATGAAAATACTTACCATGAGCACAGATGTGCAAATGTGAGGTAGTCTTTTATTATTTTTAGTGTCCTGAAACATGAAATGTATGCACAAGTGTGTTAAGGTTTTCTTCTTTCCTCTGGAATCACATGGGGAGGAGGAAGAGGGGTGGTCCCAACCCTCCCAATGCTGAGACTCTCGCTCTTGGCCAGCCCAGAGAAAGGCTGATATCTGACCTCCTGCAGGGGCCACAGACCTGGAGCCCAAGAACAGAGGCCTGCACACCAGGTAATTCCTGCCCCAAAGGCCCCAGACCCACACCCCAACAGGAGCCGCTCTGCCCCTAACTCCGCTGTCTCCTCCCCCAGATCCAACCCAGCTGCAGATGCCCAAGAAGAACCCCTCTGTGAGAGGAAGGGACAGCTGCCCTGGGGAGGGGACACAAGGATTTCAGGAGGCTATGGGGGAGGGGACAGCTTGGGAGGCTGTGGGGGTCAGGGGTGAGAGAGACTGAAATCCACACAGCCCAACCTAGCCCCTCACCTCACCCCTGGGTTAGTGGCCCAACTGGGAGCAGGCAGGTCTGCAGTCCTGAGATCTCAGGGACCATGACAGGAGACACACCCTGTTCTGCCCCCACAGATGCTGCTGTGAAAGACCCACAGCCTGGGGAGGGCATGGAGCTGGATCCTCAGGTGAGATACTGGCTCCTGTCCAGGCTGCCAAAGACCTTCCTGTTGCCCAGTTTACTCCAGTTGCCACTCCCTGTCCTCACCTCCCCTGGTTCTCAGTAGCACCCACACTGACCTGGCCTTCTGGGCACTGAGTTGTCCTGCTGTGACTCACCCTCCCTCAGCTTTCCTGTGTCCTCGTGACCCGTCCTGGGTGGTCTCCTGTGCTGGCTCCTCATCTTCTGTCCCTGTGCAGCCCCAGGTCTCAGGAGGAGGCATGAATGACTGAATGACTGCAGGTCCCAGGGTCCTGTCACTCATTCATGCAGCGGCTGTGACAGGGGCTCACTGGTTACCGGCTCCATGTCAGTGTCCCACTGCAACCCTGAGCAGCCTGTCCCCACCCTCCTCCAGCTCCCCTGTGGGTGAGGGAGACACCTGCAAACAGGCAGATGATGTCCTGGAGAGCTAAGTGCTGTGAAGGAGAATGAAGCAAGAGCAGGGGGAGGAATGTGTGGTGAGGGGAGAGAACAAAGAGAACAGCAGGTGCAAAGGTCCTGAGGCAGGACCTGCTGCTTCAGCCAGATGGGCTTTGTGGCTGGAGCTGAAAGAGCATGAGACAGAGCGTTAGGTTAAGAGTCAGATCTGTAGAAGCACCAGGAGTCCCAAGGCTCAGGGAGTCCCTGCAGACTCCACCAGGAGAGTGACCTCATCTGATCTGAAGTTTAACTCATCAGTCTGACACCGGGTGCACTCATGACTGGAGGATTTCAACTGTGGGGTCAAGGATACACTGGTTCTGTCTCACTGTCTCTCTGCAGCAGAACAGGACTCATGATGACTCCCAGGGAGAGACATACACCCAGGTGACCCTCTCAACATCAAAGCTCAGGCAGGGAATGGCCTCTTCACCTTCCCCACTATCAGAGGAATTACTGGACATGAAGGACAGACAAGCAGAAGAGGACACACACATGGACAGTCAGGTGGGTCCTGTCCTCTCCAGACCCCAGGCTTCCCCAACCCCAACCACCATTCACTCCTCTCGCTGCCCCCTGCTCCAGGCTGCTGCCTCTGCTGCCCCCCAGGATGTGACCTACGCCCAGCTGACCCACTTGGCCATCAGACAGGAGGCAAGTGCACCCTCTTCCTCCCCATCAGAGGAGCCCCCAGATGAGTCCAGTGTGTATGCTGCTCTGGCTGTCCACTAGCTGAGGAAGGATTCAGACCCCACACTCCCAGGAGGGGCCCTGCAGCGACCCCAGAAGGCACAGGAGCTGCATGAAAGGACACTCACTAGTGGCCCACAGCCAGCCTGGGGACCAGACATGGACCCCAACAGCTTCTGGGACCCTCTGGGAGTCCCCTTATTTGGCAACCACAGATAAGTACTATCTCTATACTTTGGAATCCAAGCAACAGACTTACCAAGAATCAATGTGTAAATTTAGAACCAAAATGGAAGGGACAGAATGCTATCAATGAATGATCATGTAAATGTTATACATTAGTCCTATGAAATGGAACATTAACAACCATGAATGAACATCTTAGAGAAGAAAAAGGTGAAGACATAGAAACCACCTAAATGTCCTTCCACACATGCTGAGATGAAGGTGTGGCAACCTGTGTGATGGAGTGTTGCTCAGCCACAGAGATGAAATCCTGTAAGTGCAGTGACACGGAGGCATTGTGAGTATGTCATGCTACATGGGGTAAGTCAGACCCCCCAGCACAAGGACCGTACGACTTCACTTGTATGTGAGTGAGATGTGAAACTCTGTACTGTCATATGTATTAACTATATGGAACTTGTAATAAAAAATTTCCTGCAATGTGAATGTGGATTCCAAAAAGCTTTATTTGCAAATGCTTCTGAACATATATGCATGTATGAAACACACACACACATGCACACACATAGGGGCATACACAGACATACAGAGAGCAACACATAAAAAAGAAAACAAACTCATAGAGGTAGACATCAAAAAACTGGTCACTTTAGGGGAAGGGTGTTGGCAGGGGGCAGATGAAAAAGGAAGGGTGTTAAGTGTGCAGTGACAGAAGGAGATGAGCCTTTGAGTGGTCGGGACACAATGAAGTATATAGGTGATATACTACATCAAAGATTTACAAAAAATTACAAAAAGAATGGCAAAGTATTCCCAATGAGGGTAGAAGGTGGAAAATCATAACAGTAAGAGCAGCTACTGAGGAAAAATCAGGAAGGCCAAAAAATTTTCATTCTTGCAAACATTAATCACATTTCTAAGGTCTAGGACACTGGGCACAGAACAAAGAGAGAAGCCTCTTGTCACCCCTATCAGGACAGCATCTCACAGCCTTCCTTTCAAATACATAACAGAACACTGTGAAACGCATACCCCTGAGACATAAATAAGAGTTCTGTGCTTTACTGCCCTTTAATAAAAAGGTCATGAATTTTCACAAGAACACTACTAACATTTTCACACCAACATAATAAAAAATGTAGATGAAATCCACAAAAATACAATTTACGAAAATGACAGACATAGAATAAATAGAAACTCTGAACTGTTCTACATGAAACATTTTGACCTTGTACTTCAAACTTTTCCCACAAAATGAATGTGGAGTCTGGGAAAACTCACTGATAAAATCTTCCAAATGCTTTTGTATGCAAAAGCACGCACACACACACAAACACACACACTCAGATACACAAACATACACACAACAGCCTTACACTCATTTTTCTTGACAACAGAGAAGAAAGGCACATCCCACAACAGAGTTTATCAGGCCAGAAATAAATTGATGATGAAACCAAACGACGGAGCTACAAAGAGGAGATCTCACAGGAAGCTCTCTCATGTGAGCTCAGGTGCAGAGTCCTAAACAAAATTTCACCAAGATGCATCAAAGCATAAACTGTGTCATCCATCCCGACCAGGCAGGTATGTGATTTCAGGAATGCACAGTTGGTTCATATCCAGAACATCATCAGTACAATTCAAACTTTCAAAGCATAGTAATAAAAAATAAAATAAAATAAAATAAAATAAAATAAAATAAAATAAAATAAAATAAAATAAAAGGATCCTCCCAACTGATGTAAAACTTGTGTTAAAATACAGCACCAATTTCTAATGAAAAACACTTCAGAAAGACAAGGGCATTTTCTATCACCTATCAAAGCATCTTTCAAAAGCTTTCTAAAAAGAAATGATGTTTAAACATAAAAACTTGAAAACTTTTTACCTGCAATTGAGACTGGGCCAAAAATAGTCACTAGGGAGCTGCACAGGCTCAGCTTCTCACCTCCTGGTACTCCTGCATGTCAGTCCAGGCCAGCCCCACACCCCAGGTTTTGCTGGGAGGGGAGGGGCACCCATCTGAGGGGGGAGTGGAGGGTGGCCACCCTGGGGCCCCGCCCCACCACAGGCCCTGCCCAGCACCCAGCACCCAGAGCAGTTCCCTCCCTCACAGTCTCAGCTGTGGGTCAGGTCCCACCTCTGCCCCTGCTTTGGCTCCCACTCCCACACCTGCACCTGCACCTGTTTCTCCAGCTTTCCACCACAGCATCTTCTGATCCTGCACCTGCTAGTGCAACCAAGCAGGAGACACCTGGAACTCCCATCAACAATCAGACATCCAGACATTCTTCCCTGTTAAACATTTTTTGAGGATGCAACAAATGCTCTTGTGACAGATCAGTTCTCTGAGAATATGGCCACTGAGGTCATGACGATGGGCTATGAATCATAGCAAGGGATGCAGCCATGTGAGCCAGGTTCACCACCCTGAGAGCCTCGCTGTATCTTTAAAGGAAACTCTAGAGGCAGAAAAAGTCAGGCTGTGCTTGCTCCCCTTCCAGGTGCTAGTTCTGGGGCTCCTCAGCCCAGGGCCCTGTCCCTGCAGAGCCTGAGACAGTACTAAAGGAGGGGACCAGGGGGTTTCTTTGTTGATGTTCTGCAATGACTCCCTTTGTTTTGTTTTCTTGAGGTCCATCCCACATGGCTGCTTTGAGTCCTCACATCTAAAATATCATGCCCTCTTCCCCTGTTATGTAATAAAATGTTCTTCATTTATAATCATATTACCAGATGGGCATTATTGAATTTATATTTCTTCAGTTCACAAAATTAATGTGGATTCACTAACTGATTAAATGCACTAAGTCAGATACAAGCCTGGGAAATACAGATCCCAACCCACACCACCACCCTTTCTGTTCCCACAGTCCTTCCTGTCTCTATCAGATGCCACCTGTGCCATTTCCTGAGAAAAGTCATCACTTGAAGGGACAGCCTGGTGGTGTGCTGCTCTGAAAACTCATCTATTTGAGCATCCTGACTTGTGACGCTTGCCCATTTCTGTGGTGTAAATTCTTCCCCCATGACCAACCTAAAATGGCAACCTGACTTCACTGTGTGCAGAGTTGGGAGATTGCAGAATCATCCTCACCACCGAGAAAGGGCCTTCGGACAAACACCTCCCCACATGCCCTCTGTTCAACTGCATTTCATCATCTTGTAGACATAATGATAATTCCTACTGTAGTGTGAAAATGCAGTGTCAGTGAAATTGTGACAACATAACCCCAGATATTCACACAAGAGTAAAAAATAAAATCTGAAAACAAATGGGTTCAGAATTCAAATAAATGTGGTGGAGGTAAAAATTACTTCAACCCATTTGGAGAGTATGTTGGAATTATCTAAGTAAAAGGAGGAGACACAGAGTTTTGACCATAACATATACATGCTAGAGAAACTGTGTATGCAGGCACCAGTTACACTCACAAGAACATGGACCAGTGTGACCCTCATATTATAAAGCAAGCACACATCACAAAACCCCATGAGTAAAAAAGAAACACGGGTGGTATTTGTTCACCATGACCTACCAGATGATGGTGCAAAAGTGAAAATTAAATCACCAAAACAATGCATTTCAATCTTCAAACGTGCTGGTGAGTCAATGAAAGAGGATTCTCAAAAGAAGGCAGGCAGGGCTGTTCCATTGTGTAACCTTCAGAAAGAGACGCCATTGGTCACTCAGGCAGGCACCCCTAAGAGAAACCTTATGAACAAAAGTAGGAATGGATCCCTTGTGATCCGTTCAGGGGTTAAATGTAGTGCAATGTTGAAGGTTTGTTCAAATGTCCTTTGTGAGTTTCATTTGGTGACTTCAAAGTCCAGTTGTCATTATAGGAAATGCTGCCTTTCTATTTGGTGATTTCTCTATATCTTCATACAATTTACTGAGCTGTCATGAAGTTAGGTGGTAAAGTCCACTAGCTAACCCAGGCAATGTGCTTCTTTAAAGTAGTTGTTGATGTGTTACAGGAAAAGTGTTGTGTTGGCATTACAGTTCCCTCAAAACATGATCAGGACCTGCCCTACCAGCTGCTCTAAGTCCAACCAAAAGAGGAGTCCCTGCCTGGGGCAGATGCTGGGTCTCAGAAGACAGCCTGTGCATCACACCAGACATGCAACTGACCATGTCAAAGGTCCACGACAGCTCCCGATCCCATGTTGCTCCAACTGTCTGGATGCTTGTAGGTCACCAGTATGTACATGTGGGTTATTTCACAGAATGGGGTTCAACTCCATTGGGAACTCATTTCCGATCACACAGGTTTTGGTTGCAGGCTGAACAATGCTCAGGATATCTGCTGTCCTCCTGGACCCCACTGAGGAGGACTCAAGGGAAAGGAGCTGAGTGCAGGGGGTATCAGATGTTGAGGTCAGGCTTGTCTTGATTCCTTTCTTGATGGAAACTCCCTGGATGCCTGACTTTGAAAAACAGACTCGGTATCAAAAATACTTGTCACTGATATGTGGTGTTTGATAAACGAATGTACAAAAAATGCAAAAGAATGAAGTGTTCTATGTATCACACACCCCACACCAAAATGAACTCAAAATAAATCAGTATGCAACTAATATTATAAAAATCGGGATCTAATGGATAAAAATCTTCATGAGTGTGGGCTAATTTATGTTTTCTTGGAAATGACACTAAAAGCACAATAAACAAAAATATATGTTAGACTTTATCAAAGTAATAATGTATGTGAATCAAAAATCGCTATCAAGAGAGTAAAAAAAACTCAGACATACAAAACTGGAGAAAATATTTGCAAATTATACTTGATAATGATTTAGTCCAGGATACACAAAGCACGTATGTAACTCAACCACACACACCAAGAAAGCCCAATTCATAAAACTGGTCAAAGGATGTGAGTAGGTATCTCTACCAAAAAGATATTCTGCAAAGACAATAGCTACAAATGGAAAGATGAGCTCAGGAAAACATGCTCCCCATGGTCAATCATTAGGAGAATGACCTTGAAAATGACAGTGACCAACATGAGCAAGATGGTGGCCAGATAAGAAGTCTCGGCTCTGCTCACCCACAGAAGCCACGACTTAACCACCATCTATGGACAAAACTCAAAACTACATTCACACTCTGGGGTGAACATGCGAAGTTCCAGCACCAGCACCCCATGGAACAAAAAACCCAAGAAATATCACCTTGACAAGGGGAAGAAGAACAGCTTCACTATACTGAATCGACCCTCCCACCCATGGGTCCTGCGCCCTACAGTGAGATGCCCTCCACATGCAATTTCTTTTGGGAGGTGAGGGTAACAGGAGCCTCTGCCCCCACAGCCTTTCTATCACTGCCCAAAGATCCAGCCTCTGTCTGGCTGAGGGATATGCAGGCTGGATACTCTGGGGGCAACTGAGAATGAGGAAATGGGGAGGATTCAGGGTAATTGATGTTCAGGTCTCCACAGCCAGCCCATGCATGAACCCTGACACTGGCATTGAGTTCCTTA